GTAGAGCTGCTCGATGTCTCCTCTTCCGAAGAGTCCGTCTAGAAGGTGAGCAATTCAGCCGTCTAGGTATACACTCACCTCCCAGTGAGCTTCGTTTGTTGTGCATGTTTTGCTGGGACAAACAGTTATGCGAAAGTTGCGTGTTTTTAGACTGTGAACCGGCTAAACTGCAGTACAGCTCAGACTGCGAATGCGAACAGATGAAATCCAATTATCCCTTCGCCGAAGAAGTCTTAACGGGCACTGAACCCAAGTCTGGACGTCTACACTGCATGCGCAAGGCAACGCTGATCACATACGTTCACGGCCACAACGGCAAATGTGAGCAACGAACTCATCCGCTGTCAGTGGTCTGTCAACCAGTCCGAAGGCATCAGCTACTGCAGCAGCTGAACACTCATCGACTCACTAACACCAACCAGAGTAGGAACTCTTATGTTGATCAGAGACCCACGAATTGGTGTGAAGAAGCCGCGCGCGTCGGTGGGTGCATGGATGCGTTTACAAGAAAGGTATCTGCATTAATTTCTCCTCTTTATTGGCTGAAGGGACTGTCTTGTCTTTTTGAGCCCCCAAGCTATTTTGTCGGTCTAACGATGACGAAAGCTTACACAACAAGCGTTCTTCTATTTTTAAAGAACATGACCAATCTCGGAGTAAACATGTTTTCTTGCTATTTTACTGCATATACATTCAACGGAACCTCGGTTAACGAGTTTAATCCGCTCGAGCTCCGACCTCGTCACCTGAAACGCTCGCCTTGCCGAACGTAGCCAATCAACCTGCACTAGTTCACTGATTGGCTTTAGTCAACCGTGGAACCACGCCCTGGGAGCAAGACTGAACGGTGGACATGGGCAAACACGTGCACTGGCAACTTGTTAACTGAGCGGAACCTCGCTCGTTACCTGAAATGTTCGTAAATTGCGTTGCTCATCCCCCGAGGCTCCACTACATATCAGAGGATACGATAACAGAGACGGGGGTGAGGTGAAGTGACAAAAAACTGTTTTGCACTTATCACGTGTTCATAAAATATCTAGGTAGAATAATATATAAAAGTAGTAAAAATTCGGCGGCGACAGAAGTGACAGCGCGAC